TCACCCCAGTTTGCAGTACAAACGTACAAACGCGTGTACACATGAGCCCTACCTAACACATACTACAACTACTTGGCAGCATACTACACTACAAACACCAGTAAATACTGCGAATACCTAGCAGACACAGACAGTCAGTAACAGCACCAGATTGCCTATTTGGGCAACCCCACTTCTGTTAGTTAAGACAATTAGTACAGCCATTGACATCAGCAGAACTCCATGCCTATAGAAAAGAACTGCATCAATAAGGACAAGAGATCACACAATAACACAAAATGCATTAACAAATCATGGCCATAAGTCTGTGGTGTCCACAAACCTGTCCCTTCGCCCAGCACAACAACTGTTGTGGTGTGGATACATCAAGTGCTGCTGTACAGGTCTTAGCATGTGTGCGTTACACCTACACTGGCACTATTCTCCCACGGAATAACGAGCCCAAACAAGCCGAAGGCCCAAGGGTCCGCCTGTATGTGCCACGCATAATGTACAACCGGGTGTTAGCTGACCGCACATACTTCTCTTTGGGGTAGGGCGGCCAGGCCGCCTTTCGCTCCTTGCCGGACTTCAGCTTCCTTGTTGCTGCCCGGACCTTAAACTTGTTGTACACGCCAGGATGCACCACAAAGTAGAGGCTGGGCTGGCAGCCCTCCTGGCCCGGTGCAGGGATGCCCAGTCGCTTGAGCACGTTTTCAAGTTCATCAGCATTGAGTACCTTGCTACGCGAAATAGTCATCTGGAAAAGGTGCATCTCCGGCACCTTAAGGGCATCAATGACGGGGAAATTGCCGGACACGGGCCTCAAGTACATGTTCTTAATACTGCTCATCATATCACTGGCCTCGTCATCTGTGAAGCGAAGAGACTCTGTACAGGCCTGGATGTCCAGCTCCTCCTCCTCGCCTCGCTCCAGAGTCTCCGGGTGCAATGGCACCACATCAAACTTGCCGCCCATCGCCAGTACACCATGCATAACCTTCTCAAAAAGTATCCCCTTTACTGCTTCGGCGCTGTATTCCATCAGAGACTTCACTTGATCCTGCTCATCTATCCAAGCCCGTTTGGTGAACTCCTCAGCCACCCAATCAGAAGCAAACGTTAGCCGCTTCTCCTTGAAGTTGTCGTAAGGCACAATATGGACCAGGCGATGGCTCGCCTCAGGTCCCATGTCGATGGCATCCATGGCCGCCCGAACCTAATGTGATGGGAGCAACCAGGGAGGCAGGCCAGGCCACAGGTGTGTTGCATGTGAAAGGCAGGGTACAACTCGCCAAAAAATGAAACGTCAGCAGGACATGGGAGGACATAGGTGCTCAGCCGCAGTGTGAAAGAACAGAATGAGTTTCTACTGGATGGAAGGAACATCAACATTGAAAACTCAGGCAATGCAGGCGAAAACTAGGCAGTGACCTAAAACGACATGAAGTTCAGGCAGAGGACTAACAAACTACAATGGTTCACCTGTTGAACGTTGCAAGTAGCCAGGATTCTGGTCAGTGGCTGCAGCAGCCTAGGCAACCCCCAGCTGGGGTTCTCGAACGGACGTTGAAGCACGTACCGGGCTACACCGCCATAGCAGTTGTAGAGTTCCTCCACGGTCGCCTCCGGCACTGCACTATACATCTTGCTGCAGGCACATTTTTGGTGCAAGGGAAAGCGAGGGACAACTGTGGCCAAATGTGGTTTAGTTAAGGCCTGGGCTGAATCATCTCCATAGTAAAGGTTTAGTAAAGAGGACACATGTTTGTACCTGTGTTGTGCTGCGAAATGACTTGTTGTCCTGAAGAACTCTTTGACCAGCACCCTCACCTTGTCTCCTATGTGGAGTCACTCAGTTAAACAGCTCTAGTTGCTCTTCACCAGTGACCTACTCCACTGATAAAAAACGTTGAAGTGCTTTGCTGCTAGGTTGCTTATGCGAGGTGCTGCAATCCTATTCTTCAAATCAAAGCTTAAATCAAACAACACTATGCTTCAGTGAACAATATCTGTCACCTTCACAAAAAAGGGGCTGCCATACACATAATAACAGCCATGTTGTCGACTTATGCCGATACCAACCGTGATTCACTGTACTACTGCACAAAACCCAAGTTATAATCCAAGAATATCACAACATCCTTTCAGCACTAGTTGCAGCAGCATGCATGATGTGAGCTAGCCCTCCAGACCAGCTCCCACCCAACCTGCCTCACACCCAGCACCTGTGGCAGTCAAGCAGCTCCTTATGCTCCCAGAAAGGCATGTACAGAACCTCCGCAGCCTCCTTATCCATCTCCTGCAGGCCGAGGGAGGGAAGGGTGACAGGCCTTCATTCTCGCCTTCCTATTTCATTAGGTTCATTAGGAACGGATACCATAAGGTGGCAACTAATGCACGAATTGTTCTGGATGCTGTGTGCCAGGTGCACAAGTAA